ACAATGAGGCAATAACGATACATGTCAATTTTAAAATAATGAAACAATGTTAAAATACATAATGTAATACAAAATAATCAATTTATGTACATTACAAATGCCTGCAAAGGGAGTCAAAGGCCTGGAAATTGCTGCTGTTACACTTACAGGACGATCAAATCCTTGTTTAATATTGACCAAACATTTAGGCTAATTCAAATATTCACTTAATCTTTCATTTTTGGCCACCTTTAACGACTTAATTTTCTTTTGCGTGATTTCTGAATGCTTGAGATTATAAAAATCAATCAGACAACTGTATTGATAAAATCATAGCCATAGGTAACTGTCTAGAACTACTATTGTAATTTGTAAATAATATAATTTAATTACAATTAATTAATTCATTTACTTTTATATTTTATTAAAGTTCTATTTTGATCCCTATAGTAGGTGTTTTTTTTTTTTACTTCCATAATAATTTAAGGAGGGGGCCCAACAATACAATTCTGCTTAGGGCACCCATTTGGCCAGCAGCGGCCCTGGATTTACCGGTACTATTAATCACAGAATTGGCTTTACTGATGAGATGCGCATGACAATCACATGCGATTTATAGTGCAGCCCTTGTTTGTTGATCACAAAGTACAAAGTAGATTAGGAAAACTAGGATGTCGGGTGTATTCAAAGCGCCGCCATTACTGCCTAGAGTGCGTGGAATGGTGCGCTGTGATTGGTTGAGCGGATATATCGCATTCTGCAGAGAAGGGGGACTGGCGTTTGTCTCGGTTTGGAAAAAAAGGGAGAAAACATGACAGAATAACTCGGCCAGTATCGCATTTTGTGTAAAATTAAAAATTTACTTTTCAATACCGACCAGATATAATACTGATTTTGGCGGAAACTCAACTTTTAAAAAAATGGCGTTTATGGCGTTTTGGAACCAAACTCTTCAAATATTCTTATTAGAAATAAAACTGCCTAATTTTTGAACTGTGCAGAGCTGTAGCTGAATAGTTAGGCCTACTACGCTGCTGAAATTTAATGCTGGTCATTATGGTGGTACTTAAAGAGAGCTAAATATTTTCTGAAGTGGTACTTGGTATAAAAAGTTTGAGAACCACTGGTTTAAAGGAATGGTATAAAATGAAATCCTGCTTTTTAAGAACTTTTCAGTAAACCATTTCTTCTTCCTTTTAGAGTCATCAAGGATCCAGCTTATTATTGGCAAATTGGTAAGGAATGGGTTTGTTTGCACATGACGTCACTGATGACGCGCGAAATGCAGCTGGAGGACACGTAGACAAGATGTAAATAAGATATCATTTGCAGTTCAGAGAGCTTCATTGATTATAACGGAACATTGTGAGATTGCGATAAAACAGATAATCACAATTATGTTGGACGTGATTATGTTATGAAGAGGAGCGATTTTTAAACTAAACTGAAATACGTGCCTGCCATTGAGGCGGTGGATATAGGCTAAGCAACTAACCCTG